AGGACCAAGACGGTGAGAAAGCTGAGGGTGGAGCACGACCGGTCGTGAAGACAGACGGTGGTAGCAATGCAATTAGAATGCTAGGCGGTAGGAAGCGTGTCGGAATGAGATGCCGGTGGTGGTGGAACAGAAGCAGATGGAGAGGGGGGGACACCCGAAAGGGTGCGAGATGTCCGAATGCCTATATACAATCGGCAGGGCCACCACGAGGCGGGAACGCCAAGACTTGATCATAGGCGGTGGTGTCGGACCTGGGATAGGCACGGCCAGCTCAGGTCTCGAGCAGGAGGCGGAAGCGGACATGCGGCAATGCCAAGAAAAAAAGGCGAGTCGCGAACCGACGGACTCGACCCCTCAATCGGACGGGCACGCGCGCAGAGGACGTGCGGCGGGAAACGAGGTGGGGGCCCTGCGGACAACGAGAGGGAGGCGGCGAGACCGGGCAAACCGACCGTACTGCTGAGCCACGCCGTGGACCCACGGAATCCAGCTGCCAGCAGCCGCCCGCGAGCTCAACCCCAAACCGACAAGGGACAAAAGAAGGTGACAACTCATGCGACCCGCGACGGAAGCATCCGAGGTGCCACCAACAGCCAAGACAAAGAGCACGTAGGCCAAGGGATAAGCAAAGAGGCAAGGCACGGCTGAAACCCACGGGCAAACGATGGGGAGGGAAGGCTGCAACGCCGGGCACGAGGGCACAATGGCCAAAAATGCCAAGAAGAGTCCAAGCAATGGAGGCAGAGCCAAGAAGCCAAGGCCGAAGACATGCGGCTGCTCCAAATCCCTTGCGGCTACGCCCGTCCTCACCCTTGCCCCTCGCCATGCCAATTGTCCTCTCCTTCACACCAACGACCTCGTTCAATGAAAGCCAGTCCGTTCACCAGCTGGCTCCAGTTTGTAAAGGAATGGCGACATCGAAGCGGTGCGTGCCAGTGCCAGGCGCATGCCCGAGTGGCGGGAGGGAGGGCGGTGGGTGAAGTTTGCGGCCGGACAAGCGGACAAGCGGGCGGTCGGGCGGAGCTGCAATTGAAAAGGGCGGAGCGGCGGTCGGGCTGCAGCAGAGACAGGCACCGCTGAGCCAGCGTGCGTTTGGCAGGCGCTGCGCTGCGCGACCAAACTTCACGCGGCCCACACTCTGCGGCGCTGGACGAGAGGAAGCCCAAGCGAGCGCACTCCGTCGCAACGCCAAGACCTGCAGCCCCAACCGTAGGCATCCCGCCAAGCCTCGCAGCGAATTCCGAAATCAAGTGCGACTTGAATTGGAATACAATCCGCGTTGCGACCGCTTTTCAACGTTGAGATATGGCACCGCCCCTTGGGCGGATGAGCCGTCCGTCCATCGGGATGGGCATATCGTTGGCGAATCAGATGCGATGCTGGCCCGGGGCCCTAGATATGGATCGTCAAACCACGCTAGCGCACCGCCGCTCCACTGCCGCCTGTTCCGCCCTCGTGCCTCGGATACGCGGGTGTAGGCTAGCTAGGCTCCGCCAGCTAGACATGCTTGATTGCCACCTTGCGAGGCTGGACACCACCTTACGCCCAGCCCAGCCTGCTAGGTGAATGCCGCCTCTTCTAGCGTCCTAGTTAGCCCAAGTCACGTCGAGCTGAGTCGTGGAAGCGTGATTGCGGCCTTGTTCTCGATGCCCGGGGCGAGCGGGAAGAGCACCCGCGAGGGGATGCGGTCAGCTGCGCCAAGCTCCAGATGACGCCCCTACCGCACCGCCCAGAGATGACAAGGCTTGGCACTCGTCGATGGTGTGATGGCCGGCCCCGAATCAGCTCGACCCTCGGCCCCTTCCCGATCGGTCTTCATCAAGCCGCACGTTCTGTCCGCAATCGAGCCACCGTGATTACAGACTGGTCGGGTATGGCACGAGTCAGGCTTAGCTGACCGCCGCCGGCTTCGGGTTCACCCTTCGACGAGTCGCTTCTGACACCCAGAGAGACCCCTCGTCGACCAGCTATCCCACCTCGCTAGGCTAGCTCCAGTCCGATGGAGAATCTCGCTCTTGGCTTCTCCCACTTTATGAGGCAGGCCAGCTACGAGGGCGGCTTTCATTGTCTCGCAGTCGTAGCCACCCAACGATGTCCCGGCGAGAGTCGTTCCGATCAGGTCCTGCACGACAGGGGAACGTGAACGCGGGCCGAGCTTCTTGGCGCTGACCCCTCTTCCCGCGTTGCGGATTCAAGCGAACAGCAAAGAAACAGAAAGCAGACAAAGAAGGATTCGTCCCCGCTCCCACGTTCGCCTCCTCTCGCGCCGATCTTTTCGCCGTCCTGGCACTTGAGCAGTCTCGGACCATCCGCATTACAAAAATGCACGAGGCGGATGCCAAGACCGCCTTCGGATAACCGAGCCTGCGGTTCAGACCGTGCATCAAATGCAGGCCCCTCCTCTCCACTCTCCGACCCAACGCCCGCCCACGTTGGGCTCCCAAGTCGACCTCGGTCCGAATCGCCCCACTCTCTCGGCCCAGAGGACATCGCGGCTTTTCATTCTATCTGTTAGAGTGTGATCTTGCTCGAACCATATCTACCCTCCGCTTCACATCGACTGTCCCACACGCTGCCAAGAGGGTCATACGGATATCAAATTATAGCATGTATATTGTATCTTGGGGAATCTCTAGCTTACTCGGGGATCACCCTGCTGCGCACCAGGCCAGGTACGTCGGCGATGCCCAGCAGGTGCACCGATACGGCAATCACCAGGCCAAGCAGGATGAAGCCCGCCGCAAAACCGGCAAACATGACGCCAAACATGGCGATGATGGCCAAAAAGATGCTGCCTCGGATCGCCTCCCAGCTGAGCCAGCCTGTCTCGCGTCCTTCCAGGAATGCGTTGACTCGCTCCGCCACGACGCCACTGCCCGCCACCACGACGGGCACGCCCGTGCCCGGCTGCGTGGAGGCACCCACGAAGAAAAGGTTGCTGAATGACGCATGCTGGATCGAGGGGCGGAACCACAGCACCTGCGGGATGGTGTGGCTCAAGCCCAGAATCGAGCCGCGGAAGAGATTGAACTTGTCGCGCCAATCGAACGGATCGTTGACAATCTCGTGGTCGATGAGCTGCTCAAAGTCCGGGCGGTTGAGCCGCTTCTTGAGCGTCTCGATCACCTGGCGTCGCGCGCGCTCCTTGGTCTTTTGGAACTGTTCGCGGCTGCGTGCGCCCTTGCTCGGATCCGTGCACGGCTTTTCCGGGATCGAGATGGGTCCGCACGGCACGAGGATCACCAGCGTGTCCTTGCCTGGCGGCGCCGCCGACGGATCCAGCCTCGAAGGCACGTTCACGTAGAACGACGGCTCGGTCGGCGTGTCGCCGTCGCGGAAGATCTCGTCAAACGACTCTTGATATGCATCGGCGAGGAAGATGTTGTGCCCGCCGAGCTCTTCGACCACCGAGTTGAGCGACCAGTAGAACGAGATCGAAGAGCACGTCTGGTCCTTGGACCGCAGCTTCTTGGCGTACGAGGATGGCGGCAGCAGTTCGTTGTACGTCCATACTAAATCGGCGTTGCTGACCACCACGTCTGCCTCGAGCACCTCGCCCGACTCGAGCTCCACGCCCTTGGCCGTTCCCTTGCGCTCGTCGACCACGATGCGCTTGACATTGGTGCTGTAGCGGAAATCGACGCCAAACTTGTCGCGGGCGATGTTCTCCATGGCTTCGACGACCTTGTAGAAGCCGCCGATCGGGTACCAGATGCCTTTGGCGTACTCGGCGTATTGGAGGAGCGAGTAGGTGGCCGGCGCGTCAAAGGGGCTCATGCCCATGTACATGGCTGAGAATGTGAGAGCACGGCGCACGTGGCGAGACTTGAAGTACTTGGTGGTGCGGTCGTAGAGCGTGGCGTAGATGCGCAGGCCTTTGGTCTTCCAAAGCATGGGGAAGAGCTCCGGGCGGAAGAAGGCCCACCAGGCGGACCAGTCCTTGGTGAGGACGTGCGTGATGGACTCCTCGTAATTCTCGCCCGCCTCTTTGAGGAAGGCGAGGAAGTTGGTGAGCGGGTCCTCCTTGTTTCCGGCGCGCTTCTCGAAAAAGTTGAGCGTCTCGCCCATCTGGCTGAGATTGGACGAGAGCATCATCTTTTCGCCATCGGCAAAGTGGATGCGATAGGCAGGATTGCACTGGTGCAGCCGGATGTGCGAGCGGATATCCTCGCCCAGATCTTTGAAGCACGCCTCAAAGATCTCGGGCATGAGGTAGAGCGACGGGCCCTGGTCCCAGCGATGACCATCGTGCTGGATGAGCGAGCAGCGGCCGCCGCCGAAATCGTTCTTCTCGAGCACCGTCACATCGTGTCCGCGTCGACCGAGACGCGCAGCCAGCGCCGTACCACCGGCACCAGCGCCGATGATGATGACCTTCTTGCCGCTCCGCCGCGTTGGCACAGCGGCCGACGAGCTCAGGCGAGACAGCGCAGGCGCCGTGGCCTGCTTCTCCGGGACCTTGCTCATCCTTGGCAACGCTCGATGAAAGGGGGGTATAGGTGCGGATGGTAGTAAGTCCGGATGATCTCGCCCGGCGGTTCTAGGCTAATTACACACGCCAGGAAGACAGTGCCTCGGCAAAGGTGGGATTCTGAGATTCTCGCCTTCCATGCCGCAAACCCTTGCATTCCACCGTGACCCTGACACAACACACCCCTTCTCGGAGTCGCAATCATTGGGTCAGCGCGCAGCCTTTTCACCCGCGTCGAGCTGCACCCTGGCCATCGCATGTAAGCAGGCCGTGCAGCATGTGGAGCTGTGAAAGCGAGGAAAAAGAAAACGTCGCGAGGTCTCGATCGGGAGCAGCATCGGCGTGGAGAAAAAGTGGATGATTTAGATCTCGCTTTTCGGTGCTCTTTTTTTTTTGGGCCGTTGTGCGAGAAGATTTGAGCTTTGGCAGCCAGGGTTCAAAGCGTGGCTCCTTCATACACCGCACTCACACTACCGACTATCTCGTGGAAGCATCTGGACAGGCAGGGACGCACTCCCGATATCGATGCATGCAGCTCGTGGGTAGAGCTCCGACCATTTTGCCGCGCCTCTCTGTCCCGTCGCTGCTCTCGTCGTCCGCCAGCTCGTCGTGGTCGCATCCCACCAGATCATACCAAAGGAACCTCGCAAGCATGGCGCCTACTCCCATCTTGCTCGCTCCAGAGCGCGCTCGAGCTTCGGGCATCACGCTGGCCGACCATGAGTCTGCCTTCCGCGAGAACTCGGCGACGATCGTCATGCCGTCCGCCGAGGCGGCCTTCCTCAACCCTGTGCAGGAGTTTAACCGCGATCTCTCGACGCTCGCTATCCGCACGTGGAGTGAACAGCTGGACGCCGAGAAGAAGGCACGCTTCCTGAAAGCCGCACAGCGAAAGAGCACAACGTCCGGTAAAGGAAAGGGAAAGCGCAAGGGAGCTCAGGCCGCAGCTGCGGCTGCAGGCGATGCGGGCCAAACAGCTGACGAGCAGCCCGATACCAAGAAGGCGCGCGTCGACGAGAACGGTAACGGCGTGGCCACAGCTACGGCTGTCGCGGGCGAGGAAGCTAGCTCGAGCGCCGCCGAGGCGCTCAATCCCGAGGACGACTATCGCAGCTACAGGTTCACGCTGCTGGAGGCGCTGAGTGCGACAGGTCTGCGTAGCATTCGATATGCCAAGGAGATCCCACTTCTGCGATGGGTGCTGGCCAACGACCTCTCGCCCACAGCCGTCGAGGCGATGAAGCGCAACGTCGCGCTCAACTTCCCACCAGATCGTCCCATCGACGAGTGGATCGTCTCCGAGGCCGGCAACGAGGCCACGCCCAACCAGGACATGGACGAGGACGCTCTGGCTGCTTTGGAAGACGAGGCTCGTGCCGGCTCGATCGCACCCGCACCAGCCAAAGACGAAACGGCAACACCAGCAGCCCCATCGAACGAGGCCTCGGTGAGCACGCCTGCAGTTGCAGCTGCCATCCACCCGGACTGCAAGGTGAGGATGAACGCAGGCGACGCCATCACGCTCATGTATACGCACCGCGAGCCGCACAAGCGCTTCGACGTCGTCGACCTCGATCCGTACGGATCGGCTGCACCGTTCATCGACGGCGGAGTGCAGTCGGTTGCCGACGGTGGCTTGCTCTGCGTCACCTGCACCGATCTGGCCGTGCTGGCGGGCCACAACTATCCCGAAAAGTGCTACTCGCAGTACGGCGGTGTATCGGTCAAGGCCGAGTTCTCGCACGAGGTGGCATTGCGCCTCGTGCTGCACACGCTCGCTACATCGGCTGCACGCTACGGACGCTACATTCAGCCGATGTTGAGTCTGTCGATCGACTTTTACCTGCGCACGTTTGTGCGCGTATGGACAGGGCCCGTCGAGGTCAAGAACGTGGCGAGCAAGACGGGCACCGTGTACATCTGCACGCACTGCCAGGACTTCCATGCGCAGCGCTTTGGTCGCGTCACACAGACCACCAACACAGGCAAGACCGGTCAGACCAACGTCAACTATCGCTACAACTCGGCGCAAGGGCCTCCTGTGGGCGAACGGTGCAACGAGTGCGGAAGCCGCATGCATCTCGGAGGTCCCATGTGGCTAGGCGATCTGCACGATGCGGATTTTTGCCGTTCGATCCTCACCAACCTCGACGAGAACCCGGCGGCGTTTGGAACGAGCCCACGCATCCGCGGTATGGTCAGTCTCGCAGCGCAGGAACTCGGCAACGAGGGGCTTTTCTACTTTACACCACCCAAGGTCTCGGGCTTGTTCCACTGCGTCTCGCCACCGCTCGATAAGGTGGTGTCGGCACTGATCTCGGCGGGCTACGAGGTGAGCAGGTCGCATGCGGCGGCCGGATCGCTCAAGACGAGCGCGACAAGAGCACAGGTGTTTGATGTGCTGAGGTACTGGGTCAAGACGCAACACCCTGTGCGGATGGACAACATCAAGTCCAACGACCCCGCCCATGTTTTGCTCGCAAAACAGCCCGAGCGCGAGTACAACTTTGACAATACAAAGGCACCCGAGGTGCTGACGGCACTGGGTGCGGGCGATAAACTCGTCAGGTACCAGAGCAACCCGCTGCCCAACTGGGGCCCTGGAACGGCCGCAAAGGGTCACAAGGGAAAGAAGAAAAGGAACCTCCGTCCGGACGACCTGCAATCCAGCGCGTCGTCCTAGTCTCCACCTTTGACCTGGCTTCGAGATCATTTGTCCACCTCAATTGCAATCCATCATTTTGACGCATTCATTCGGACGAGACTCACTTGCCCATGCTAGCTTCCATCTTGGCTGTCGCATGCCATGCACAGGCGCTCGAAAAGTCGATTTCGTAGATTACAGCACTGATCTGGGCATCCAGACCGATCGAAAGGCTAGGGTACATAAAGCGCACGACTGGCCGTCGAGGAAAGCTGACCTTTCCGAGGCCCGACGCTGCTGAAAGGAGAAAGGTAAGTTGACTGTCCGTGGGGAGCCGTTTTCAAGAGACGGTATCATCGAGGTTCGTGAGATCTTTTATTAGTTCTGTCGGTATGTGGCGGCGGGGGGAGCGTCCTTGTGGTTGTGGTTGTATCGACGGCTGGGACCGCCCCTTGAGCTGTCGTCGTCCGTGTTGTCGGGCTCTGCATTGGTCAAGTGCAACCTGCGCGGCTGGTCTGCCACCTCCTCCATATCGTCCTGCGCATCGACATAGGCAGGCGGGGCCAGACCTCCTACCAGCCCAATGTTGTCGTTGACGGGGCTTCCGTGGTTGGACGACAGACGACGGCTCTGTCTACGAGGCGAGGTGGGGCCGGTGGGAATCGAGTTGTTGTGGCTGTGAGACGTGGAGAAGCTGCCGCGAGCCAGAGCAGCAGCCGCCGCTTCACGCGCACGAGCGTCACGCACCTCGGGAGGGTCAAAGTGGCTGTAGTCGGGACCGGGTGAGCGCGCGGGCGAAGCGTTGGCAGCCGCCGCCGCAGCAACGTTGGCTTCGGATGGCGAGACCATGAATCGTGCCTGCGGGGGCGCGCCGGCGAGATTCTGGCCAACACCGGCGACCGAATATGGCCCGTGAGTGTCCTGCCAGCCCATCATGGGCAGCGTCCAAGGCGCGGGCACGTTCTCGTTGCTTGTGGTCGCATGAGGCGACATGTTGCCGGTCGTGTATGCGTCCTGTGCGGTACCGTAGGATGGGTGACCGGCCGAGGAGCGGCGGTGATGACCGTTGCTGGGGCTCGCGTTGTTGTACAGGTAAGCACCGGCGCCTCCGGCAGCTGCACCCGCAGCAAGCGCACCTGCAGCACCACGGCCGTGCTCCTGCATGTCGGGATGGCCCGAGGTACCGTAGGCATTGTAGGCGTCGTATCCGTCGTAGTTGCCGCCGTTGCCGCCGTAGGCGCCGTGGGCGTTGGAACCCGAGTATGCGTAGCTCTCCGGGTCGTCCTCGTTGGCGAACTGTGCAGGGAGCGTAGCGTTGGTGTGCTCTCGACGGCGACGGCGATTCCTCGAGCTAGCAGCGGCACCGGCAGCAGCACCGGCACCAGCCGCGCCGGCCGCGAAGCCGGGTCCTCCGTAATCGTCCTTGGGGTCAAAGGTGGGCCAAGCGCCACCGCTGTGACCAAGATCGCCCTTTGCGGCGCGTGAAGGACGCTCGCCGAAGCAAAGGAAGTAGGCGTGGCCCGTGCGGGATCTGCGCCTGCTGGCCATGATGCAGATGGTGATGATGAGTGCAAGGAGAGCGAGGCCGCCAACGACGCCGCCCACGACACCGCCGATGAGCGCGCCATTGGAGCTGGAGCGGTTCGAGTTGGAACGGTTGGGCGCGGCGGTGGTGGTGACTACGGGCGTTACGACGGTTGTGACGACGACCTGTGAGGTGCTGGTGCCCGAGACAAAGTTGGAGGTGGTGACGAGGGTGGAGGGCGAGGAGGTGGTGATGACGGTGCTGGACGCCGAGGTAGAGGAGGTGGTAGAGGTGGGAGTGCTCGAGGTGGAGGAAGAGGTGGAAGACGAGGTGGAGGTGGTGGTTGGGGTGGAGGCTACCGGAGTGGGCAAACCGTTGGAAGTGGAGCGGGCTAGAGGTCAGTCACGGTGCACGAGCGGGCAGCCATTGCGGAGAGGGAGTGCGAAGAGAGAGGAATGAATCAGAGGTGGGCTCCCTTGCTGAATGCTTCGGGATCGTCGGGATCGATCGTCTTCAGAATGCTGATACTCACACGAGGACGTAGTTCGGATGGAGCTGGAAGAAGTGGTGGGGGTGGAGCTGGTGGTGGGGAAGGTGGCGGAGGAAACGATCGAGTCCGTGTTGCCCGGTCCGAAAAGGCTGAGGCTGCTCAGTAAGCTTCCGAAAGGGTCCTGTCTGCGTTCCCACACGGCCTCAGCGCGAGGAACAGGGGTGGGGTGTAGAGACATGATGATGAGCGGCAGATGTAGCGCTCGGTTGCCGGATGGAATGCGGGGAGAGTGGGGTGTTCGAAGGGCGGCGGCAGAAATCGAATTTGCACCAGCGAAGTTCCCTGCTTTTTCTAGATAGAGGATGTAGGAGTGGGGACGATGAAATGGAGATGGTGGTCGTGGTGTTGATGGTGGTGGTGGTGGTGGTGGTGGTGG